GTCTCTAGGTGTTCCAAGCACACCCTGTCTCCCATGAGCTTCATTTACTGACAACAGCAGGAATTGGGGCAGTGTTAAATTTTTTTCATTCTGTTTAAAAGTTATTCTTTAAATAAACAGCAACACAACAACTTGTCATTTCTCCAAGATTGTTTCCTCCATATTAATTTTCATTTAATTAATCTTAAGTTCCACTTTTCCTGTAAGAGGCTGGTATTTTAGGTCTCTTTGGGACTGGGCCCCATTTGGCAGTGCTCAGGGTTTACGCCAGGCTCTGTACTCAGGGATCATTTCTGGTGGTCCTAAAAACCATACGCTATGCCTGGAATTAAGCCAGAGTCAGCCTCATGAAAGGCAAATGCTTTATTTATTTTATTTTATTTTATTTTTAATAATTTATTTCTTTATTGAATCACTGTGGGAAAAGTTACAGAACTTTCGGGTTTAGGTCTCAGTCATGTAAGTATCAAACACATTTCCCTTTACCAATACTTATTTTTAACCGTGAACCCCAATAGAACCCCACCTCCCACCCCTCCCAATTCCTGTGTGGCAGATGAGTTCTAGTTAATACTCTATCTACTTTGACTAGATACATTGTTTCGATAGAAGATGCACAATTATTGTTTAGAGTTTATGACCCCCTCCCCAATCAGATATGCTGAAACAGCGTTGTTAAATGATTTGCTTTCTACAACTTGGTTTAAGAATAAAATAATGTCGTGCGGCCGCAATAGCGGCCACGCGGTTTTGGATTTCTGCTGTTTTACTTATTAACCCTGGAAGTATTTCTATTAAAAGTTAGATAGTTAAGAGATTGGTTTCTGTGCTCTGGAGTCGTGGCCGTGCCGGAGAGCCGCTCGTGGGGGGCAGCTGGCGACCTTGGTCGGGCGTGAAGGACGGCCCATTACGCCCCCCTTCCCATGAGGCCCCTGCCGCCCCCCGCCCCCGGCTCAAACCTGCTGTCCACAAGGCTCCCGTGCGGCCGGAAAGGCAAATGCTTTAACCCACTTACTATGTCCTCAGCCCCTATCTCGGGTCTTCACCTGTTGAACATGACTGAATGGAGGGCCACTAAGTGGAATGTGTGTGCATATGCCAGATTTAATGATTCTGAGCTCTGTAGAACCGTTGATGTAAGAAGTCTGAATGTCACTTTATTCTTTTCCTATTGCTCCAAGGACAAATTATTGTCAATTCAGTGGTATACATCAACGCAAATTTATTATCTTTCTCTCCTGGGGAGCAAGACTCCACATTTTGCTTGCCTAAAGTCCAGGCACTAGCTCACCTGAGATCCTTCCGGATTTGCTACTAGGATCCATCTCCTGGACTCCCCCAGCATCTGCGGGAAGCCTGTGTTCCTGGACCAACCCCTTCCTCCTTTTCCTCTCTTTGCCCATCCCTGATTCCACCCTGCCACCTTCACTCCAAATCTGATACCTTTGCCTCCTTCTTTTTTTCTTTCTTTTTGGGTCACACCTGAAAATGCACAGGGGTTGCTCCTGGCTCTGCACTCAGGAATTACTCCTGGCAGTGCTTGGGGGACCGTATGGGATGCTGGAAACCGAACCCGGGTTGGCCGCGTGCAAGGCAAACGCCCTACCCACTGTGCTATCACTCCAGCTCCACCTTTGCCTCATTCTTACAACAACTCTTATGATTCTTGTTGAACTCCCTGGACGCTCCAGGCACCTCACCACCACTTGAAGATCCTTAATTTTATTTCACTTGCAAAGCCCCTTTCAGGGTCACAGATTTCAGAATTTGGGGTTAGAATATCGGGCTGCTCTTTAGCCTATGGAGGGTCTCTTGGGAGAATGTTAGGCTTTTCTTTCACACCATGCATGCGGTTGACCCAGGTTTGATCCCTAACATGGTTTGTGGTCCCTTGAGAACTTCTGGAAGTGAGCCCTCCACACAAAGCCATCAGTAAGCCTGAACACTGATCAGTATGACCAAAATACCAAAAATAGAGTAGACTCAGAATCCTAAAGACCATTGATGGATACAAATAAGTTGGAATTAAATTTTGAAAGAAACAACAAAACTGATCTATATGAGAACTTTAGAGCAGACTCACTGTCATAAAAAAATTAAGCAAATAGAAAAAATAGACCATATTTATAATTGGATCATAAGAAAAGTACAACACTGCCAAATCTTAAAGAGGTCATAGTAGTTCTTAAAATGCATAGTTTTAAGTATTTATTTTAATGGAAGAAGAAGGTTGAGAATTTGAGTCATTCATTTTAGAAGGTTGAGTCATTCATTTTAGAAGTTAGAAAAAGTACAAGATAAAAGCAAGGCAAAAAAGAAAGAAATATTAAATATGAGTATACTTGCATAGCATATAATTAATTACCAATTAATATGATATTAAGTATTAGAAAATAAATAACTTCTAAGACAAGAAAAGAAAAAGGCCTTCATGCATATAGCCCCCATGACCTATTCTTTCTTATAATAAGCTCCTAAAACGAATTTTACAGGAAACTTTGGAGGAAACTTGCTTTTAAAATGAGATTTATTTTTTTCAAGTCATTCAAGTAGTACATTTGCAAAGGAAAATTTGAACATCTAAAACAATGTAAAGAAAAAATGAAATTAATAATTGCATTATCAGGCAAATAATAACTTCATGATTAACATTCAGGAATTTTTTCCAGCCTTTTGTCTGACATTTATTCTACTACATTCCATGTGTGGTCCCAGAATGAATTTAGGACTGAGACAGTCTGAATCAGTCTCGTGAACTAGTGGGGTGAGTCTGTTCACAGGAGGGCGGGTAAGTATTTTTGAGAACTAAAAAAAAAAAAGGGGCAGGAGTGACAGCACACTCCTGGGTAGGAGGGTAGGGTGTTTGCCTTGCACGCGACTGACCTGGCCAACCCGGGTTTGATTCCTCCGCCCCTCTCAGAGAGCCCAGCAAGCTACCGAGAGTATCTCGTTCGCACGACAAAGCCTGGCAAGCTACCCCTGACGTATTTGATATGCCAAACACAGTAACAACAAGTCTCACAATGGAGAAGTTACTGGTCCTCTAGAGCAAATCAATGAACAATGGGAGGACAGTGCTACAGTGCTAAACAAAAAGAGAGCACTGGATAGAAATGTACGGACTTGAGGGAGTAAACGGTACTCCACATATTGGGATTATTCTTCCTCCTTTAATATTTTTTTAAAATGATTTTTGTTCCCCTCTGGCTTCCTACTTCAAATTCTAGCAAGACTGAACACCGGTGAACAGCGTCTTAAACTTGAATAAATCAGAGGCCAGTTGGGTGCCACCAGGCTTCCACTGGATTGGTATCTACCAAGTCTACCCAAGTTCAAGACGCATGACAGCAAAAGCTGCAGAGAGTGGCTTCTCCCAAAGGAGACACAGAAAAGAATCACCAAGGGGATAGGTATTCTCCACAACGTTCTCCCGTCCCCTGCCCTGCGATGGCACAGGGCAACATCAGAACATTGTAGAGTGTCCACGGTGCAGAACAAGGGGCAAGTGGCCTTTGCATGGAAAAAGATTCGCAGCAGAGCAGGGCCAACACTTGGGTTTGATCATACGCACGTTGTGCTGGGCCCTAAGGATGATGGGAAAGTATAAGGTATGACAACCATCCTCAGGAAAATCATGGGAAATTTGGTGCAATGCCCGAAATACTGTACTTAACACAAGGCTTGGAAGGGACAGAAATGAGGGGAGAATAAGAAAAGGTGGGCAGGAGGTCCAGGGGCAAAGGTGAGGGGCCTTGGACTCTCAGTGGAGTGTAGGTAGGTGTGCTCTGTGTGTAGCTAAACCACAGAGCCACCAATACTGCAAGTAAGGGACCCAAACGAACAAGATCAGACTTAATGACGTGTCTCTAAGGAGACAGGGTCCAGGATGAGAGAGAACTTGGGATTTGGGGGATGGACGCTGACACTGGCTGTGGGCCTGGTGTTGGAGCATTGTGTGACTGAAACTCTGTTATGAGCACATTTGTAGATCACAATGCCTAAATAAAAAAGTTAATTGGAAAAAAATTTATAAATAGGGGTAACCTCATGACACAGGTATTCACAGGTCAGAGGTCACTTAAAAAATAATGCATTGGGTTAACCGTGGACTGCTCATTTATTTCAAAGTTATCTCCCATAGCTTACCACATTTACCATTGAGAGTGATTATTTAAGCTTATCTAATCTTTTATTTACTTATTTATTCACTTTGCATCACACCCGACGATGCACAGGAGTTCCTCCTGGCTCATACACTCAGGAATTACTCCTGGCAGTGCTCGGGGGACCATATGGGATGCTGGGAATCGAGCCCGGGTTGGCTGCATGCAAGGTAAACACCCTCCCGGCTGTGCTATTGTTCCAGCCCCGTTTATCTAACCTTTTAAAAACCACTCTTACTATTTTTCTTACTATTTTTCTCATTGAATGTTCACATTTTCCAAAGGTAGCAAACATAAAAGCTGGAAAAATAGGGGGAAATTAAGATTCAAAATAAATTTTTGTGTCTTAATTACAAACTTAATTTAAAAAACTCATAAAATGTAGATTAAGGTAAGCAGAGAGGTCATCTCTGACCCAAATCAACCACAGTTGGCACTTTTAGATAACTCCTTCTCAATTTAGTTTTTATCCTGAATTTATTAGGACTAGTTGATATATTGTTTGTCATATGCTAATGTAAACATAAATTTGTAATCTGTAATTTCATATGGCAGTACTTCTATCGAAAAAATCATTTGAAGTGACTATGTAATATGTATAATGATTTTAAAAAATCATAATTGAGCCAGAGAGATAGTACAGGTTAAGTGCTTGCCTTGCAAGCAGCCAATCCTGTTTTCATCACTGGGCTTACATAAGATCACCTGAGCACCCCCAGAAGTGACCCTTGAGGACAGAGCCAGGAGTAAGTCCTGAGCACCATCAGGTGTGACCCAACACCTGCCCGCACCACAATTAATTTACTACTCTTTACCCAGTCTTTTCCTAAAGTGAGACTTTGAGGGGTATTTCTAATTTCCCAGAATATTAAATAATTCTGCAATATATGAATTTACCTAAAGTTTTCTTTCAGCATTCTTAATTACTATCACAGTAGAGTTTATGGAAAATATATTTGTTTAATCAAAGGTTATAAACAGTTTTGAAGATCCTGACATTCATTTCTTGGAAAAAATCTGGAAAGTGGCATCATTGGTATTTCCATTGAGGACTGTGAATTTCACAAATGGGCAAAAAAAAAAAAAAATCAAACAGAGAAAATATTTGAGTATCTTCTCCAGTCTATCCAGCGGGTAAGAAACAAGATCTGTCTTCATTCAAATGACTCCAGGCTGTAACACAAAAAGTTGGAAAAGTGAGCAAAGTTGGTAAATCTGGAGTGATGAACAATCCATAGCTAAAAAGCATATTAAACTTACGGTTCATATTCAAAACACAATGAAACAGAAAAATATCCATCTGAAACAAGTAGGAAGGGTATCACATGTTATTTGATGGCAAATAAGCCAAAGATAACGCATTTAGGATTTCTATTTACTCTGGACTTGCTTGAGAGATTAGCAACTTGAATCATAAATAAACATCAATATTTTAGCAAATGTAGTAGACAGCTTAATATGATGAAGACATTTTTCTACCTCACTAGTGTAGCAGCATTCAAAGCAGTAATTATCTCACCAGAATAAGGACTTTTCATTATCTTTTGAACAGGAAATTCTCCAAAAGTAGTAAGATTTCCTTGTGCTTTGATTTATTTCTGCACAGAACACTGAAATGTTACTCATTCAAAACATGGGTGTGATTTTCACCATCCAACACAGAATACAGATTTTTGTGATTCCATCCTTTTTTTTTTTGATATAGACAAACCAAAAGCCACCTTGGTATAGAGGGGAGAAAAAGTGATATTAGCATTTAAATTAAAGTGAGGGCAGTAGGAATGGAAAGAAAGAGATGGAATTCTAGAAACCTTTTAACAAGTCTCATAGAATTCTATGCAGCTGTTAGGAAAGTGATGTTAGAAAAGTCATGAAATTTACATATAGGGATCCACATGGAGAGTATCATGCTAAGTAAAAAGAGTCAGTGAGAGAGGGACAAACATAGAATGACTGCACTCATTTGTGGAATATAAAGTAACATAATGGGAGACCAACACACAAGGATAGTAGACATAAGGGCCAGGAGGATTGCTCCATGACTTGGAAGCCAGCCTCACATGCTGGGGGAAAAGGCAGCTGAAATAGAGAAAGGACCACCAAGTAAATGATGTTTGGAGGGCTCGCACAGAATGGGAGATGCATGCTGAAAGTAGACAATGGACCGAACATGATGGCCACTTAGTACCTGTATTGCAAACCATAACACCCAAAAGGAGAGAGAGAGTAAAAGACATTGTGCCTGCCACAGAGGCGCGGGGGGGGGGGGGGTGTGTGTGTGAAGGTGGTGGCAGGAGAGATACTGGAAACATTGGTGGTGGAGAATGGGCACTGGTGGAGGGATGGGTACACGATCATTGTACGACTGGAATGTAATCACGAAAGTTTGTAAGTCTGTAACTGTACCTCACAGTGATTCATTTAAAAGGAAAAACAACCAGAGTTCAGGGCAGTAGAGGGGCAGAGTTTCCACGGAGTGGCTCGCGTGCCTGGGGGTGGGGTAGGGGGAAGTTGTTACCTGGATGATGACAGAGTAGGTGCCACACAGGATCTTGGATAACTGCATGACTACCTTCAGGAGGCATACGATCACCTGAAGCCCGCTGAGAGCTATTAGGATGGAAAATAAGATGATGTTCCATTCCACGACATGCGGAGGCTCCAAACATTGCATCCAAACGCTGGACTCTGTGAGGAACCTGGGAGAGAGGAAGTGGATACAGATCTGTGGGCAATGGGCTAGGGAGATGCTACAGGGATTGATGCACTTGCCTTGCATGGAGCCGAACCCAGTCCTATCCTTGGCACCAATATGGTCCCTGGCACACCACCAGGGGTCACTCCTCAGCACCCCCCCCCCCCCCAGATACCCCATCCCTGCTCCTACCCAAAAGGAAAGACCTAGGGTCAAGACTAAATACTTAATTCAAAGAAGAAGGGTCAGATCTATATGTTTGGATGGTAAGATTAAAAAATTCATAATATTTGACATGAACTGATATGTTTTAGAAAGTCATTCCAATAGTTATGCAGATGTTGATAGTACGTCTAACGCATAAGCATCCCTGAGCAATGCTGCTAGTATACGACATGGCTGCCTTGGAGACAATTTCCATTCAGTCAGGAGATCAGACACACACTGAAATTTGACATTTGCACATGTCAGTCCTCCAAGGAGTAAAGATTCCTCATCCCTGGAATCCAGAAATTGGCCTGAGCTGTTAAGGCAGCCTCAGCTTTTGCTGGGCATAAAATCACACTAGGAACCAAAGTGCAAAAATAAATGCTGCTTGGAATTCCTAGGTTTGCTCTAGAATCCTTGAGAATAATGGTTCCTGCAGTGGAATAGGTAGGGTGAGTGGGGTGGGGGTAGGGGATTTTGTGAAAATGCTGATTTTCCATAAATATTACTGCTGCTGTGGGTCTGGGATCCAGCGTGTGCAAATCTCCGCTCTGGAAAATTGCTGTTTTCTAGCTGCTAGGAAGAGTTAGACTTTGTAGAAGGAACACAAAGCATCTAAAAGATTCCATCATCTGGTCTAGCCCTGGGTCGTGGTCATTAAGCAACTTCTCACACAAATGCCAAAACACAGTGACCACTTGAGTCACTTTGCTCGCCTCTCGGCTGGCCTTGAGAGCTTCTGCTAAAGTTGACCTTCTTTGTGCTCATCTAAATTGATTTGGAACACTGGTCTTCAAGGATTCTCATAACAAAAACAATGGATTTCTATTTTCAGGGCAGAGTTTATAAATATCTGACCAATAACAAGATGCTTTTAAAAAAGTAAACAAATCAGGGCTGGAGTGATAGCACAGCAGGTAGGGCATTTGGAGAGCCAGGAGTAACCCCTGAGCGTCGCCGGGTGTGATCCAAAAATAAAAGAAAAGAAAATATATCCCCAAACCAACAAGGCTAAGTTGCCAGAACCACCCACATCTCAGATCCAAGAGTTGTCAGACTGTAATGATGTAATAAGCACAAACCTGCTTGGCAGCATGGGAAAAGCATGTTTCGTGTGGAATGCCTCCACAACAGACTCAGGATAGAATGCAGGGGCCAAAGACAGAGTGCAGGGATTAAGGTGCTTGTCCTGCATGCAGCCAACCCAGATTCAGTTCTTAGCACCACATATGGTCTCCGGAATTCCCCCAGAAGTGACCCTGAATGCAGAGCCAGGAGTGAGCTCTGGGCACTATCAAGTATGGCCTCCCAAACGAAACAAAAATTAGAGAATGCATTTGGAAGCTTAAGACTGGGCGGGGGAAAATGTCTGAAGAAAAGTATGTGGAATTGCTGATTGGCTTGGTGGTTAGGAAACGAGCAGGACATTCTGCACAAACATCCCCAAAAGAAATCTCAAGGTGGTCATGGGAAACTCAGCAGAGCATGAAGCAGGGGTGTGTGTGTGTGTGTGTGTGTGTGTGTGTGTGTGTGTGTGTGTGTGTCATGCCAGCCTTTTTTGGTGTGGGCACTTTGTCCTTACCGTCCCGCTGTACCTTCAAAGGCATACTCCCAGCCACGGAGGGTGCGGCAGTAGGGCCCCTGAACAAGGGCCAGTGAGGAGATGACCAGGCAGTATCCAGAGAAAGCAATTCCAAGGGCAGAAAAGATAACCGACAGCAGCGTCTAAATTGAACACAGGAGAAGGAAAGTAGCTTAATAGGAGAAACAAAGCAGCATTGTGCATAAAATGATGAGAGGGGACCGTCCCTGCTGATCTACCCGATCTCTAGGTAACACTGAACCTCTACCTGGTAGCAAGCATCTCGCCCACACCCAGCTGATCTTTTCTCAATCGGGTTTATTTATTTATTAAGCTTGGGGGGCGGTGTTTGCTTGACATTGGAAGAGGAAGTCTTACCAGGTCTCTGCAGGCTTTTAAGGCCTAGCACGGCATCTTGGGAAAGAAATTGGGCCTTGTCATCACCTTGATTTTTATCCTGTGAGACCTGCTTCAAGCTTCTGAATTCCAGAAAGAGAACAGCGCAGAATCTCCTGCCCCCGCGCCTGGCTGTCCTCACCGGGGCACCTTGGAGGGGGGCAGGTTGAGTTTCCCTCCCCACCCCAAGCAGAGTCCCGGCAGCCAAAGACCTCCAGAACCAGCCACAACCATGCTGAGACCACTCTGCACACGCATGAAGGTACCAGCAGAGGAACAAAGGTCCCGGGGCTGAGATCTCCAAGCCTGCTCGGAGCGGGGCTGAGCATCCTCCACCCAGATCCTCCATCTTCCAGTAGGCAGGGGTCATTCCCACCAACTGCCCCTCCCACCTCCTCGTGCCAGGTAATCCCATCAACGGCCAAGACCCAGAGACTATAAAATTCAGCTCCTGGAAGCGTGCGGCCATCTCATTCTTACTTTGGACAACCTGGCAGGCTACCAAATGTAACCTTCCCACAAGGCAGAGTCTTGCAAACTCCCCGTGGCGTACCCAATATGCCAAATACCAGTAACAATGATGGGTCTCATTCTCCTAACCCTGAAAGAGCCTTGAATATGGCACTTTTTAAAATCTCAGTGCTAGGGCGAAGGAGACGTTACTGGTGCCTGCTCAAGGTAATCAATGAACAACAGGATGATCGTGATCATGATTAAACTTGGGGGATACACCAGATAGTGCTCAGGGCTTAATCCCGGCACTGTGCTCAGGGATCACTCCTGGTCAGGCTCAGGGGACCCTATGTAGTGCCAGGAAACAAATCCAGGCCAACCAAGTGCAAGGCCAGAACCCTACCTGCTGTACTATTGCTCTGGTCCTTTCAATAAGGTTTAAAATGACCATTCTGATCCACGTACCACATAGGAAAGTTAATTTACTAGACTTCTCCCCTTTCAGGAATTTTGATTTCAACACAAAGATTATTTCATCCACAAAGACAGAAGAGCTCCTGTGTTTCCTAGTAGGCTGGGCTCAGTGACGACAGCAGTGATGGTCCCTGCTTTTCTCTTATGACACTTCTCTCAAGGCACTTGAATATCTTCACATATATGAATAAAAGGGGAACTATCAGTTGTCAAACTGAGACTCAAATGGGAATAGGCATTAGCTTTCTAAGATTAACATAGATGAAAAAAATCCCTGATAAAATCCCAAGAATTCAATGCAATATTTAAAAGGCTATACACTAGACCAAATAGAATTTATTCCAGGAATATAATGATAGATAAACACTGGTCGATCAATTAATGCGATATGACACATTAACAAAAGGGAAAAAGAATGATAACAACAGATGCCATAAAATATTTGACAATATTCATTATTCAGGGCTGGAGCGATAGCACAGCGGGTAGGGCATTTGCCTTGCACGTGACTCACCTGGCCGACCCAGGTTCGATTCTTCTGCCCCTCTCAGAGAGCCCGGCAAGCTACTGAGAGTATCTCGCCTGCACGGCAAAGTCTGGCAAGCTCCCCGTGACGTATTCGATATGCCAAACACAGTAACAACAAGTCTCAAAATGGAAACGTTACTGGGCCCGCAAGAGCAAATTGATGAACAACGGGAGGACAGTATAGTGACAGTATTCATTTATGACAAAAACTAGATAAAATGTGAATAGAAAGAACATACTTAAGTAATAAATGACACTGTGATGAGCCCAGAGTTATTAAACTCAGTAATGAAAAACAGAGTCTCCTGCCTCCGCTCCTGGCTGTCCTCACTGGGGCCCCTTGGAGGGGGGAGGGTTGAGTTTCTCTCCCCTCCCCCCCCCCCCCGCCTCGAGCAGAGCCCCAGCAGCTGAGGACCTCCGGAGCCAGCCATGGCCATGCTGGGACCACTCTCCACACGTCCGGATGGGCCTCATGCATGAAAGAACTGGCAGAGGAACCCAGGCATGCGGGTCCCAGGGCTGAGGTCTCCAAGCCTACTCGGATTGGGACTGGGTCTTCTCCACCCAGACTCCCCATCTTCCAGAAGGTAGGCGTCACGCCCACCAGCTGCCACCAGTGCCAGGTTGGTCCCATCAACAGCCAAGATGCAGAGACTATAAAACCCAGCTCCCGGAAGTGCGTGGCCGCATTTGTGGCTGCACAACATCTTATTATCTTTCCTTTGGAGAACCTGGCAGGCTACAAAAAGTATCCTGCCCGCATGGCAGAGTCTGGCAAACTTCCCGTGTCGTACTCAATATGCCAAATACCAGTAACAATGATGGGTCTCATTCTCCTAATCCTGAAAGAGCATTGAAATGACTCCTTTAAAATCTCAGGGCTAGATAGAAGGAGACGTTACTGGTGCCTGCTCAAGACAATTGACGAACAACAGGATGATTGTGATCGTGATATTCAGGACAAGAATTTCCACTCTACCACTATTATTTAGCATAATATTAAAAGTTCTGCAAAGAAAAATTAGGCAAGAAAAAATTAAATGAGACAACTCCAAATTAGAAAAGAGAAATAAAACTATTTGCAAACAACATGATTATACACACATAAAACTGGAAATACTCTGCTAACAATTATAAGAAGCATAAAATAAGTAAAGTAAGAGGTCACAAAAATATATTTAAAATCTTTTGTGTTTACATATGCAAGCAATAATCTAGAAGGAACTTTAAGAAAACAATTACACTTACATTTACAAAATGAACAAATGCCTAAAGACAAAAAACGTGTTTTATTTTTATTGTAACAAAAAAATTCAGGTTTAAAAATTCCTGTGAGACCAGAAAGATAGGACAGCAGCAGTATGCTTGCCTTGCATGCGGCCAACCTGGGTTCAATCCACAGCACCCCAAATGGTTCCCTGAGCACCTCCAGGAGTGATCCCTGAGTGTAGAGCCAGGAGTAAGTCTAAGCAGAGTGCAGAGCCAGGAGTAAGTCTAAGCACTGCCAAGTGTCTCCCCCAAACAAAAACCAACAAAAATCCTACATACTAAAAGCTACAATGCATTTTTGAAAATATTGTTAACAAGATAGTGTTAAAAGAAATAGAAGGTGCAAGACATGTGTATATAATCTGTGCTTCTAGCTTAGAGAATTTTCTCCAAGGTAGCGGGGAGATGACTCAAAGGTTAGGAGTGCATGCCTTGTGTGTAGCAGGCCCTGTATCACATGGCCCCTGAGCACAGGGGGGTCCCCCATATACCACCACACCACGAAATGCAAGGACTAAACCATCAGACCCGCGTGGTTGGGTTGAGTATTGCCAGGAGTGTCCCCTGGCCCTCGAGCTGCAGAGGCTTCCAAAAAATATTCTACCTCAGCAACACATAGATTCAGTGCAATTCCTCTCAAAGTTCCAAGGGAATTCTTGCCCACAAAAGTAAAACAATAATAAGAACTACCTCTAATCCAACATGCCCACTTGCATATCCGTGAGAATTCTGATTCAAATAGACATGGTCCTCTGTGTAAACTCAAAAAAGGGGCACAGCACAGCGGCGGTGGCTCTATCTCTCCCGCTGCCCACGTTCAGTAGTCTCACGCCGCTTCCCCCACCCCGGGGAGGTCAATGCCGATGGGTAGGCAAGGGAAGGAAAGGAGGACCAGGCTGGTTGGTCTTAGTCGCAGTTTATTCCTATCATCTCTCCATCCACACCAGTCTCTCTTCTCTGTCTCTGCCTCCCTTGCCCACTCTACAGTTTCATTCTATCTTTCTGGATGAGAGATTAGGGTAACAATTACACATAGGTGCAGTCACAATCAATAGGGGTAGAATTCTTTCCCTTGGGGAAAGACGCTCCTAGGACAGATCCTCGCTCAGCAGGACGACCCACCCTAGAGCAGAATCCCATGGGTGTGTTTCTCCTCTCCTTGTCCGACAAGCATATAAGCATATATAATATAAATCATTTCGTATGGATACAGTAAGATATATCTTAAACTTATAGAATTGCCCTCCTAGGGTCATCTTGATCTCAGACTACAGTGCTCAGGCCAGATAGTCTTTCCCACCCCTAGCAGGATCCTAGTCTCGTTGTTACTTTTGGATCATGACAGCATTTGTCTATGATCAAACTCTTAACTTACAATTAAGAATTGTGGCACTTTGGCCTGGCCCATTTCGATGACAGGGTAGCTCACCGCTTGCCCTGGGTCCATTCAGTCCCTCGCCGGGACCCTGCTTTTGGAGTGTTAGGAACTAAGGACAACTGAGGCTTAAGTTGAGAAGCAGATGCCTGGGAGTAATAATATTCAGAGCCAATTAAATCCTAAGTTACAAAGCATAATGTTAACGGTCTTCCTGTGTTTCTCTTATTAACCTCTGTTGGTCCTTCCCCCACCCCCACCCCCAATCCCCCGCATTGGTCTTTTTGATTTTCAGGCCCAACCTGAGAGGATGGGAGAAATTTTCCTTCTCTAGAGAGTGACTTTTGAGTGACTTTAAGGTCTATTCCAGGACTTCAGAAGTTATCAATGAATGCAGATTCAAATTTGACCTGCGAGAGATGTGTGTGTGTGTGTGTGTGTGTTTGTGTGTTTGTGTGTTATTGTTGTTCTGCTGAGTTTAAATGAGAATTCAAGAATCATGACTGAGAAGTTTTCCATAAAATTCCATATTTCTTCTTTCTACCACTTAAAGGGAGGCCTGGAGCGATAGCAGGGCTGGAGCGATAGCACAGCGGGTAGGGCGTGTGCCTTGCACATGGCCAACCCGGGTTTGATTCCTCCATCACTCTCAGAGAGCCCAGCAAGCTACCGAGAGTATCCCGCCTGCACAGCAGAGCCTGGCAAGCTCCCCGTGGCATATTCGATATGCCAAAAATAGTAGCAACAAATCTTACAATGGAGAAGTTACTGGTGCCCACTTGAGCAAACCCATGAGCAATGGGAGGACACTGCTGCAGTGCAGTGTTACCACCGAAAACAGAATTCTTGCCCCAGTATGTCCTGCCGACATTGGGCTGCACTCCAAGAACACTTCCCTTTTCCCCTGAAATAGAAATTCCCCTCTAATGACTACCAGCCATACTTATTTCCATCCTTGGGCATTTGGCTCCTGAGGACTCATGCTCTGGAACATCTAGTCTCCAGCGTCCTTTTAAGGAGTCAGTCAGAGACTCCAGGGAGCCTTTCTCTGTCCCGCTCTTCCCTTTGTGATGCCAGCCATCTTACTGCGTTTGGCTTGGGAGACTCTGCCCAAACCTGACATGTTTCAGCACCCATCGATGCTGGAGATGCTAATAGTGAGTCGGCAAGTTGAACACATTGATTTTCAGTCCGTGGCACATGCATTTGCTCTAGTAGAATTTCCTTAGTATCCTCAGGAAACATTTACTTGAACCCATTGCTTTAACATGGTACTTCGTTTTGTTTTGGGGGCCACACCTGGTGTGGCTCGGGTCTTACTCCTGTCTCTGACTCTGGGATCACTCCTGGTGGTACGCGGGAACCATAGACAGTGCTGAGGACCAAACCAGACTTAGCTGCATACAAGACAAGTACCTTAACCCCTATATTAGCTCTCTGGCTCAACATGGCAGTTTTGAACACTTTTTTTCCATAAGTATGATATCAGCAGCTCCTGGAGGATGTCTAAGACAACTGAATAAGAATATACACATATTCGCATGGAGTATAGTTCTAAATTTTGATGCTTTACCATTAGGGAAGCTGCTAAATAAGCAACCAGTTTAAATTTCCAAAGGAATCTCCTGGAGAAGTTTGGCCACGTGATCCTAGCAGCACATTAAAATACGACTGGTTGCTGCCAACTAGGGCTTGAGGAGATGGTGGTGATAATGCTAATGTCTGGCTACTAGACAATGACAAAGTGCAGACAACGTATGGAACCATAGCAGCAAAGAATGCCCTCCTACCCCCGCCCGGACACTCGACAAAGCTCCTTGTCATTAATACATGATTCTCCCTGAGCCGGACATGACTTACCTATAAAAGGGGAGTAACAGTGTGATCTAAATCCCTGAACAAGTGTGAAGGAACTGCAAAGTGTCATCAAATTATTCTAAAGATGACGATCATGGTGGGGGAGATATAATAACTGGAGAAATGGAGATGCACAGAGTCCAACTGTTGAACCTAGGCTCCACCAAATTGTTTGCATTTTCTCTTAATTCTACTTTTATTATAAAATGTGCATTACAGACACTCACTACACAGATAAATCTAATCATTATGATAAGTAAAACTAGATGCAAAACCAAGTACCTTATGGTTCCACAAGAATACAAAATAATCTATAACAAAAACAAGCAGATCTAGGATTAATCTTGGGGGTTAATAGAAAGATGATTTGTCTTTGCTGCAATTGTGCAATTGTGACTTCAGTATTGTGTTCATCTGTCAAACTTCACAGAATTAGACATATTTTATAAACAACATCTATTAAATGTATATGAATCCTCCATAAAGTTGATAAGAGGGAAAATATATATGTAGAAACCCAGTTAGGAAAAGGTAGTATTCATTTATTATTGCACGTATATTTATACCCTTAATTTCCAGAAAAATATTGTCAGAACAAAGAGGGAATATTATAAAGAAAAATAAACATAATATTTGGAGTTGAATGCTTAGTCTCTGACCTAAAATGATCACAGAGTGCCAATAGGTTTTGTTCCTGAGCAAGAGGAAAGGAAACTGGGCCCACTCAACAGCCTCAACGTCCAATTGCTCTTACCATGTATCTTTTGCTGCAGTTTTCACTCTGGCAACATTTGTAGTTGTTCTCTTTCTCCAGTAGAAGAAGAACTGTGGCTACAATGAGCATCTGAAGTGGGGAATAAAGAGAAGATCAGAAAGGAGAACTGATTTGCATTCGTGCCCATAATCAGAGCAAAGGTGTTTGGAACCTGGACTCTGGGGTCTAGTAGATCTGGGTTACAACGCCAATTTGCCACTTTTCAGCTTTGTGAATTCAAGAACAGATTAAACACTCAGAGGTATTGTTAGTTAACCTGCGGCAAATGAGCTCAATGCATGAAATGGAACAAGAAAAGCTTCTTCAACAAATAGTGTTGAAAAAAAGAAGAAATGGAAGGAAGGAAGGAAGGAAGGAAGGAAGGAAGGAAGGAAGGAAGGAAGGAAGGAAGGAAGGAAGGGAAAGAAAGAAAGAAAGAAAGAAAGAAAGAAAGAAAGAAAGGAAGGAAGGAAGGAAGGAAGGAAGGAAGAAAGACCGCAAAAGAAAGATTCTCTTTACCATACCATTCACAAAATGTAATCAGAAGTGGATTCAGGACCACAAGATTAGACCAGAATTCATAAACTATATTGAGGAAAGCTGGAGTCAGAGCTCAACGGACAAGTGAATAAGCTTTGTCTACAAGATGCCCAGGTTTAATTCCTGGCACCAACATGGTCTCCTGAGCACTGAAAAAGGGACCTCTAAGCACAAATCTAAGAAACAACCCATAAGTACTAGTGGATGATGTCTCCCCCACAAAAAAATGAACAAGCAGAAAGCAATGCATTGAGGAAAACATAGGTGAAACTCTCCAGAACACAGACCTCAGAGGTGTTGTCCATGATTCCACTCTATTAGCAAAGAAGAGAAAAAAACTTTATTCGGGGCATCAAGCTTTAAAAGTTTGTTACATGGCAAAAGAAATGGGCTAAAATAAAAAGACATTTTGTTGAACTGGAAACTTTCACACCATGTACCAGTTAAAGGACTAATATCCAAGAAAGATAACATGTTTACAAAGCTTAACAAAACACATTTTAAAATGGAAAGTAAAGATAAGCAGGCATATCTCTGAATTAGACATGTAGACGGCCAGTAGGTGCATACAAATATGTGTTCATCATCACTTATTATCAGGGAAATACAAATCAAAATGACAATGAAATATCATCACACCATTGAGAGTGTGCAGGAAACAACAAGTTGGCAGGGATGTGGTGAAAAGAACCCTTCACTCACGGTTGGTGAGAAGATTGTCTGGTTCAGCCTGAGTGGAAAACGACATGGAAACTTCGAAAAGGAGTAAAAAAAAGTAACAATAAAGCTTCCACGTGACCCAGTGTGTGTTTCTATTTCTCAGCATCTACCCCAAGGATAGAAAAGCATGAACTCAAAGAGATATTTGCATATGTGCAAACATGCTAGCAAAAATGCTATCTCAATCAAATCACAATATAAAATGTATTAGAAAACATATACCAAAAATCAATAAATTAATCAAATGTGCTGAGAATATAACTCACTGGGTTATGAGGTAATGTCTGCAAAATATTGAATATAGTGCTTGATTCATGGTAGGGGATTGATTAGTGTTATCTTACACTACCATGAATAGGAGGCATCAGGAGAGGATGGTGAAGGTGGAGAAGAGGATATGGAGAGGATATGGAGGAATCATAGTAAATCAGCACTCTTCACCAACTCAGTTGGAAGGACAAAGGAAAATATTTCAGCAGCCTTTGTTGCTTCCCTCCATTTCACTGCGTTCTGGGTATCCTGGTGCGAGGCACAGTTCATCTGTAACTGCATCTCTCCATTCCACCTCTCTCCCACATAAGTTCCATTTCCCTAAGAGTCCAACCCTCCTTGGCCCAAATTTTATTTATAATGTAGTTTGTTAATGAACTGAGAGAATTTAATTAATTCTACTTCTCTTTCCTGGTATGTTCTGTAATGAACCTGGAGTTCTTTGCTAGCTCTTTCCTAGCTTCTGGCTTGGGTAGTCATGGGCCGTGAATTGCTTCCAATGTGTCCTCTCCCTAGTCTTCATTCTCTCTGGCAACACAATGTCTCAAGTTCAGTTTTTAGCGCAGCGGGTAGGGCGTCTGCCTTGCACACAGCCAACATGGCCGACCCGAGTTCGATTCCTCCGCCCCTCTCGGAGAGCCCGGCAAGCTACCGAGAGTATTCGATATGCCAGACACAGTAACAACAAAGTCTCCAATGGAGACGTTACTGGGCCCGCTCGAGCAAATCGATGATCAACGGGAGGGCCTTTACTTTACTTTACTTTTACTTTTTACTATTTGTGATCAACAATTCCCATTTCCACTTTCCTTCAACCATCATGAATTTGCCTGCTTGGTTTTTAAGTATTTCCCACTTTCTCCTAAAAATTCTTGAGGCAGTAACTATAAGCTTGAATAAATCTTAGGTGTGAAAAAATAGAGACTAGATATTTTTCTCAGTTGTAAAATTTACATGAAATATGTGCCATGGGGGGCTGGAGGGATAGTAGAGTGGGTAGGGTGTTTGCCTTGCATGCATCTGACCTGGGTTCGATTCCCGGAATCCCATTTGGCCCCCTGAGCACCGCCAAAGGTAATTCTTGAGTGTAGAGTCAGTAGTAACTCCTGAGCATTGCCAGGTCAACCCAAAAAGCAAAACAAACAAACAAACAAACAAACAAAAAAAACCCCAAAATCCAGAAATATAAGCTGTTCTCTGGATCCTACTGCTACACATGACACCTACCTTCAACACCATGAATTATTAGGGGCTATAGTATACATATATAAAGCAAAAGCACCTTACTTTTATTTATAAAATAAAGTGACTTCATTCTGTATTCTTATCTCATTTTAATAGCCGTATTACTATTTTAAAGTTTAGTAGTTTAGCATGCATGTAGGGCTAAATGAAAGTTGCCTTCTGATAACTGGTCCAATATTATAAATGCCCACAAAAAAACAAGATAAAGATTTCATGGCTTTTCTCCTGCATTGCTGGAGGCACGGCAAACACACAGCATGCAAAATATTATTTTTAGAAACGATGCAATCAGGAAAAGTGTTTCTTCCTCTGAGTTGCCAGCATGATTGACTATCATTTTGTTTTTAAAGACCGCAAAGTGGTCAGGAAAACATCTGTGGATTCTTGGCGGGGATCATAGGGTTTAGTTTCCAAAAACACCCTCTAATTTCAGGCTCTAGGACCAAAGGATTTAATGATGCTCTGCCTTGCCCTTTGGCCAATGTTTATAATAATGATTACACTGGTTACCTATTTGAGTAGTCTTTGTCCTGGATACCTCATCTACGAGATTTAATTTACTGCCCTCGATTACCCTGAGAGTAAAGATCGTTATTTCAAACAAGGACCTTGAACCCCAAAGTTTCGGTGGGGAGTGGTGCCCCTAAGACGTTCAGTAGGTGATTTGAGATCAAACAGGACAGAGAGGAAAGAGCTTCTATTTTAAAGCAAGTTTGTCTGGGACCAGGAGATAAAAGAACTATTAGATGGTACAGACTAGATTTGATCCCCAGCACCATCCGGCCCCCCAAAGCACTGTCAGCTATAGCACTTGTGGGTCCTAACACCACGAAGGTGACCAAATAATCCATGGCACCCCAGGGCCTTAGCAGAATCGCATCCTTGGTCTCTTGCACTGAAAACCACCCGTCAGTTTGACAAAAAATCGCTGGTGGTGTCTCTGGGTCTTCTAAGAACTGCTTGGAGAGCCCCCTCCCCTTCTCATCCCCTCCAAAGCATGTGTGTCTGAATTTCTAAGTCTCTGCCTTTGCTCCTCTGTCTTACAACTACTCAGGAAAAACCATGAGTGTGGAGGGCAGACTGCTCAGGGAAAGATGAACAGTGCTGGAAGCGAAATCTCCGAGCTTGACATGCAGGGCTCTTGAGGGCACATATTTCTCCAGGTCAGTGTTGCACAAACCCCAGAGAGCGTTGCTCAAGCTGCAGAAACTAGCAGTCTCCCCCACCCAGCTGTTCTCCGGATCCTACCACTACGAACCCTGCACCCCCAGCCTTGCCCCAACCCAGCCCACCGAGTCTTCCCATCCAGAAACCAAACCCAGGATGAGTCGAATGAGTCTTGTTTTTTCTGCTCTTCATGATTTTTGCCAGGAACAAAGCCATTCTTCACGAAAAACACCCCTTCTCAGATCCCAAGTCCCCAAATCCACTTACCAGGATGCCCGAGAAACAGATTCCTTCAAAATACCACACGTAGTTGGTGATTTTACTGCTGGTCACGTAGGAAGTTTGCCCATTGGGGAAATACAACAAAATATTCACGATTATGCTCCACAGGGCCAGAGGGACGAGCAGCCCACTCAGGCAGCCTCCGCATTTCCGAGTCCCCATCACACCCAGCTCCGACCCAACAGGAGACAAGGGTGGAGAATAAGAGCAAGGGTGTAGAATAATGGTCCTGCTCCTGTCTTGTTCTCCCTTTGTGTGAGATCACCAACCACTTCACTCGATATTTGGGAAGAGCCCAGGACAGAAAATGCAGTGCAAATCTCTTGGTGTGAAAAACTGGATCCCTGTTTGGAGAACAATAGACAATGACCCTCTGATACGCAGCCCAAGAGCCCAGCCAGTCTTCAGCCCGTGCCAAAGGAATGCGGTGTTTTCGCTGCTTTTTAAAATAAGTCCCTTTCCTCCAGAGGAGAGCTCCAAAGGCTTGACCCTGAGCGTATTTTATGAAGGAAGTTGGGGTGGGGAGTGGAATTGAGTCTGGGAAATTTCATTTAAGGGAGAGAAAAAAAACCCCACAGCCCAAGGAACTTATATGGGAGGCCGTTCAAATACCATGCCTCATAACTCTATCTTTGATTCAATGTTCTGCTTACAGTTTGGCATAGAACAGTGTGTGGATTTAAGGTGCCAAGTGTGTTCTTTTGATTCAACTATCTAACACCAGTCTTACCCCTTCTTGTAAAATTGAGTCTGGAGGCACTTTTGCACTCAAACAAAACAGACCTAGAAAGTAATATTGTGCAGAGAATTAAAATAGAGAGAATGTTGAGTCTGAGCGATAGCACAGTGGGTGGGGTGTTCTCCTTGCCTGTGGTCAACCGGGGTTCGATCCTTGGCGTTTCATGTGGCTCTGCAGCTTCACAGGAGTAATTCCTGAGTGCAGAGCAGTAGCAACCCCCGAGTATCGCCCAGTGTGACCAAAAACCTAAAATAAATAAATAAATTAAAAAAAAGACAATACAGGGGCACAGGGAGGAAAAAAGAACAAATTGGAGCATTTGTTTCAAGACCAGTACTAAAGTTCAACAGTGTGGGAGCTGGGAGCTACTCCCAAGTTGGCAGGAGCTGTGGTTCTTGGGCTGAGGTGTGGTGATGCTCTGAGGCAGCTCTGAGATCCATCCGGGGTCAAGCTCTTGGTCTTGAAGTCATGGGGAAAATTTTCTGGAGCAGACACACAATGATGTGAAGTTATTTTTCCTTAGGACTGTACTAAGGAGAGTGTGGGGAGATAGAGAGAGAGGGAGATTAAAAGTAAAAGAATTCATGATTGTCACCCATTGCCTCTTTTGCGAACCACAGCACCCAAAAGGAGAGAGAGAGAACAAAAGGGAATGCCCTGCCACAGAGGCAGGGGGGGATGGGGGGGGTGGGAGGGATACTGGGACCTGTGGTGGTGGGAAATGGGCACTGGTGGAGGGATGGGTGTTTGATCATTGTATAATTGAAACCCAAGCACAAAAATTTGTAAGACTACAACTCTACCTCATGATGTCTCACTAATAAAAAAAAAAAGTAAAAGAATTCCATACCTATATGAGGGTAGTGGAAAGAAAAAGAAAGAAGTAACACAGCCTGAAGTTGGAATGCAGCAACCCCGGTGTGGAAGGTGACAAGTAAAATAGCAAAGTTGTATACCAGAATAGAGAGGCGTGAGCCATTCCAGATCCGAGCACCCCAAGAGTTAGAAGGAAGACATTAGACACTCCAGGTGGGAATTCAGGTGACCCCAGCATGGATACACAGAGGTCACATTTACCAAGCTGATTATAAGGATTTTTTTTAACTTACGGCTTTGGGGGTTTCTTTTTCCTCTTTTTATCAGAAAATTGGTAAGCCCAGTGTTGTCTAGCTTGGGATCTCAAGCCCCTCTATTATCCTCTGGGCATACGAGTGATACTTTTGATTTCCACTAGTGGTGCTTCTTACCACGTCTCCCACTTTTTTTTCTACTTGCAACCTTGGGGCCCTGCTTCCTAAGTCTCAGCTTCCTCAGCTCTGAAGTAGGAATGCAAAACAGTCCCCTTCAGAGAAGGACAGTGTGAAGATCTAATGAGATTGCGTGTGCGCACCAATGTTATGTAAAGATACAAGGAAATAATCAACGCATTGTTAGAGAGAAAAAGACAAGATACAGGACTGTAATTATCACAGTAATGTAGAGATCGAACCCAGAGCTCAAACTCTTAAAAATTCTTCATCCCAGACTATTGATAATTAATGTGCCACTATTTCTCATACTAATTCTCTATAATATATATGTTCATATTTTCAATTAAGAGAAGAATTGATCATATCTGATCATTTTAATTGTATTATACTATTTGTTTGCTCCTGGGAGCTTGTATTAATTTGTTTTAGAAAAATTTCAGATGTGACCTCTTATAAAGTGTATAGCAGCTTACTAAGGTACATGAAAGAGTGGCATTCCTGCCTCAGGTGCTGTGGGAGTGGGCAGTTGGCATAGAGAAGGGACCACCATGACAAAGATAGTTAGTTAGAAATGATGGAAAAACAGGATAACCTTTCAGTACCTGTATTGCAAATCATAGTGTTCAAAAGTGGGGGTAGGGGTAGTGGGGGAGATAGAGACACAGAGAGACAGAGACAGAGAGGCAGAGAGAGAGAGAAGGAATGTGTTTCCCATAATACGGGATGGGGGTGGGACGGTTGCAGGAGGGAAACTGAGGACATTGGTGCTGGGAAATGTCCAATGGTAGAGGGATGGGTACTGGAACACCGTATGACTGACTGAAACCCTACCATGCACAGCTTTGTAACTCTGTATCTCAAGGTGATAAAATGTTAAAAAAGTGGCACTTTTACTGGTTTCGTTTTAAAATTGAGGTATATGAAGCCACTTTTAGATTCAAACAACAAATCCAAAAAGTAGCTGTTTCCTCTGCTATGATGGAGTCCCAAAGAAGTTTCTGGACATCTTGTGCTTCTCTATTGTTGTTGTTTTGTTGTTTTTTAATCAAAGTGCATCAACGAAGTCTGAGCTATGGTATATTTTATACCCCCTCAGGGACACAGAAGCAACCTAAAATCATCTTTACTATATGGGATGACATGAGAGCAATAATAGTCTTAACTGAACATTTATTAAGAGAGTGAGAGCTGAATATCTTAAAAGAAGTAACATGGGCAGCATCTGGAGATGATGCAACGTCACTCAGTGTTGAGATTTACAACCCCTCCAGTCAACTCTCTCCTGTCTCCCCTCACCTCTGTGCTCCATCAACTTTAAAGCAGAAATTCTTTTTTTCCCCTTTTTATTAGTGAAACACCATGAAGTACAGTTGTAGATTTACAATTTTTGTGCTTGGGTTTCGATTATACAATGATCAAATACCCATCCCTCCATCAGTGCCCACTTTCCACCACCATGGATAATATCCCTCCCACCCCCACCCCACCCCCATCCCACCCTGTCTCTGTGGCAGGGCATTCCCTTTTGTTCTCTCTCTCCTTTTGGGTGTTGTGGTCTGCAAAAGAGGCATTGAGTGGCAAACATGTTCAGTCCATAGCCTACTTTCAACATGCATCTCCCCTCCTGGGAGGATCCTCCAAACACCCTTTATTTGGTGCTCCCTTCTCTATCTGAGCTGCCCTTTCCTCCTAGAATGCCCGGCTGGCCTCTAGGCTATGGAGTAATCCTCCTGGTGCTGATCTCAGCTATTCTTGGGTATTAATCTCATATTTTGTTACTTTATATCCCCCAGATGAATGCAATCTTTCTATGTCTATCCCTCTCTGACTCATTTCGCTTAGCATGATACTTTCCATGTTGTACCACTTGTACATAAATTTCATGACTTCATCTTTTCTAACAGCTACATAGTACTCCATTGTGTAGATGTACCAAAGTTTCTTTAACAGGTCATCTGTTCTTGGGCATTCAGGTTTCTTCCAGTTTCTGGCTATTGTAAAGAGTGCTGGAATGAACAAACAAGTGCAGATGTCACTTCGACTATACATTTTTGCCTCTCTGGGATATATTCCCAGGAGTTTAAAGCAGAAATTCTTAAGAAGCTGAAAATGTTTGGTCTGGCTTTCAGTTTTTCTCTTCTGGCAGCTTCTTATCATGGATTCTTGCAGATGTTGAAATCTGGAGAAAGAGGAAGACCAGGAGAATTTCTGACAAGGGCACTTGAAACACAGAGAAATACAACTTGTGTAAGCCCGAACTCCTTTGTCATGTTCTGAGAAGCAGAAATTCACTCGAATTTTCACTAACATTTGAGGTGTCAGAGAGGAGCCTCTGAGAATAACTTGTGTTAGCATTGCTCTGAGAGTAGAATCCTTAAACGTGTCCCACCTTGCTTCAGTCTGGTGATGCTGGCGAATTTTCAGCACTGCTGAAAATGTTTATTCCTCACGGGGGCTTCTCTCAAACTCACCATGATAAACTGAACTGGGCTGGGCACTCTGCTAGGAACCCTCACATACTTTGAAATAAACAACTGAGGACCAGAGATCTACTTAACGGGCTAGAGAACATGTTCTGCATGAAGGGAGGCACAGTCCAATTCCCAGGGCCATCGTCTTCCCTGAACAACACACCTGTGCATGCGTGGAGTTAGGAGTAGCCCCTGAGCAAATTATGTATGTCCCCACCTCCCAGGACCCAAAAAGTTCTATTGAAAAAATAAAAAAGTCTGCTCCATGGCTTGGAGGCCAGCCACAAGGGGATGCTAGGGGATAAGGGAGATCAGATAGAGAAGGGAGCACCAAATAAAGGGTGTTGGGAGGATCCTCCCAGGATGGGGATGCATGCTGAAAGTAGACTATAGACCGAACATGATTGCCACTCAGTGCCTCTCTTGCAAACCACAGGACCCAAAAGGAGAGAGAGAACAGAGGGGAATGCCCTGCCACAGAGGCAGGGTGGGATGGGGGTGATGGGAGAGTGGGAGGAATACTGGGACCCATGGTAGTGGAGAATGGGCACTGGTGGAGGGATGGGTATTTGATCATTGTATAACTGAAACCCAAGCACCAAAATTTGTAAGTCTACAACTGTACTTATAGTGTTTCACTAATAAAAATTAAAAATAAAATAAAATAAGTCAAAAAATCTGATGACACCGATTGCAGGCATTATTTTTGTAATTATTATTATTTTTTAATGTAGGCATTATTACTCCATTTTACATGGGAAAGAAAATGGATCTAAGGAAAAAGGAAGTATGTTATGGGGCTACACCCTCTGGAGGGTGCTGGAGATGGGGTCATGCCTAGGGCTGTGTCCTGCACTGCTTAATGGCTCAGTGGTTGAGGGGGACAGAGGAGAACTCAGTGGGCAGTGCTGGGTTCCGCCAGGGCTATTCCCAGGA